TTTTATTTTATGGTAGTTAAATGCAGTATATGTTGTATTTCAGTAATCAGCAGCTTGGATTACTGGTTTTCTTGTTTTTGGTATGGGAATTATAATTAAAAATATTTTTTTGGTGTGGTTTGGGTAACTGGCTGGAGTAGAGGGAACATACAGGTCTGTTGTATGATGCTCTTCATGCTTTTGAAATGCCAGCCTGTAACATGACCTAGTGTCTAGTGCCAAGTGATTTTCATCACTACATATTCTCTGCAGGAGTGACCTCGGCTTTTGGTCTCTACTCCTGTTAAAAGTCCTCACTGTTCTTATCAACAATTTAACTCTTTCACTGTCTGTAGATAATCTTTTTCTACAGGTAAAGATATGAAATATGCAAAATTTGAGGTAAAATTTGTGTAATTATGGAGGCGCGTTGAAGGTCAGTGAGCGCTTGTGCAATGACAGTTTCATCCAATTTTGGGACTGTTAACCCTTTAAGTCTAGACCCTCAATCTGAAAATTCCCCACAGGGTCCAAGAATTTAAAAAACAAAAATTCTTATTTTTTTTATGAAGTGGTAGAAAATCTTTTTCTGAAGGTAATAAAACAGAAAGTATGAAATTTGATAAAAAATTTGCGAAATTATGCTCTCTCGAATTTTGCTGTGTCAGAGATATTTAAACATCAGCAATTTTGCCCACTTTGAATCCTATTTTTGGCCAATTACATTGCTACATTAGGCCAAATTCTTAGCTATTTCACTAGTAGATGTTCCATTTTATCTGTTGAGCACAAGAAATTGTCCTCTCAACTATTTCAGCTACCCAATAAGTGATTAGAAATTGGTAAGTTGGCCAATTTCACGCAAAGTTCAGAATATTCCAATTTCAAAATAGGGTCCGGAATAAACAATTCAGGCATTCCTGGCACTCAAATAAACATATCCTCTGTTTATTAGTTATGTTTTCAGGCTTTACAGATGAATTCCATATTGATTTTTAATTCACACCAAAAAATAAAAGATTTACTGTTATGCAATATTGTAATAGTTGTATAAATAATATCAGCGCATTCATGAATGCACATTAGACCCACCAGCTAATGTGTAATGGACACATGATGTGATTTGTTTACTCTTGAACATCAGCAAAAATCAAACATTTCCTCTAATTTGAGCTGAATTTCAAGCTATTTTTAGTACTAAAACCAATCAAAATCATCTCTATTTCTGTAATATATCTTCCATTCTATCAAATAACAATAAGAAACCACGAATACAACCATAAAAACCATTCAAAAATACACTGCAAAGTTGCTGTTTTAATCCAAAAACACGGTCACAGTTTTTTCTTACTATGCAATGTGTGCTGCAGGATTTTTTTTATATGGTGCACACTTACCACATAGGCCCATTCTCTCATATCTAGGCCCAAATTTACCGCTCACAGCTTATCTGAGTGAGCTGAGCTTGTGATAGAATAAAAGGAGTTCTATCTAAATAGCTATGAGTTTTGTTGACAGAAACAATGGAATTGGCCCAAAAGAAGTCTCAAACTGGGCGAAATTGCTGATGCATAAATATCGCCGAGACCACCATCTTCATGCGAGCGTAATTCCATAAGTTTTCCATCAAATTTCGTGGTTTTGGTTTCGTTACTTTTGGAAAAAGGTTCTCTATCATTTCTTTAGAAAAAATAATTTTTTTTTTTAAATTCGTCGACCCTGTGAACAAGTTTGCGAGCAGGGGCTGTGACACTCAAAGGGTTAAAGAAGGGGTTTGGGATATTGGTTGTTTGGAGTGACATCAAAACTGTTGTATCTGAGCTCTTCTGCAGAGACAGTGATTATGTGTAAGTGATGGTATAAGTGTTTCTTTTTTGGGTCACCCTGCCTCTGTGGGAGATGGCTGATGTAAAAAAAATATATACTGTATACAGTGGAACCTCGGTTTTTGTGATTAATTCGTTCTAGAAAGTCTGATGAACCGAATTGTATGAAAAGTGAAGCAATATTTCCCATAAGAATTAATGTAAATCCAATTAATCCGTTCCAGACACCCAAAAATATTAACAAAAAATACATTTTATAGAGAATATAGTTTTACATACAGAAAACAATGACAAATAAATATAAATGACTAATGAAATGGATAAATGAACATTTAACATCACTTTTACCTTTTTTGAAGACTTGTTGGTGTATGGAAGACGGCGAGGAGGGGAGAGGAAGGAGAGGTTATTGTTTGGAAGGGGAATCCCCTTCCATAAGGACTTCAGGTATCAAGGCTCTATTTGTGGTTACTTCCCTTCTTTGTCTTTTACTGGCACTAGGACCAGCTTGAGAGTCACTGTCCTCCCTATCACACAAAAAATCTGTCCAGAGAGGTCTGTTTCTGGTGTCTCTAAGATTTGCCTAAAATGGGACAAGGCATTGTCATTGAACATGTTGCAGACATGGTTTGCAACAGCTTCATTAGGGTGATATTTCTCCACAAAACTTTGCAACTCATTCCACTTTGCACACATATCTTTAATCACTGAAGAAGGCACATTCTTCCCTCTTTTTTCCTCCTCCTCTGAAGCAATTTCCTCAGCTGCAGTCTGTTGCTGTTCCAGTTGAAGGTCTTGCAGCTCTTCAGTGGTTAGCTCTTCCCTGTGGTCATCCACCAACTCTGCCACATCCTGGCCACTCTCATCCATCCCCATGGACTTCCTTAAAGACAGTAGATTCCATAATAGGCGTAGGGTCATCAGGGTCAGCCTCAAACCCTTAAAAATCCTTCTCGAGGACACATGGTGGCTTATATAGCAGTTACACTCAATAAACAAGCACAAAAAACAATGGATTATTACGAAATGTTTTCTGAACATGCAGGGTAATGCTCACTCAACATGAAACAAAGCCAGACCGAGTCAGAATGTGTGGGATGCTTTGTGTGGGCGTAGGCAGGCGGATGCGTTTGGTACGGCGGACCATTGTCAACTCTACGAAAACCGAGTGGACATACAAAAACTGGGATAAAATTTTGACGAAAAAAATCATCAAAAACTGAATCCTACGGAAACAAGGGCATATGAAACCGAGGTTCCACTGTATATACTGTACAAGAAGATAAGTACAGTAGGGCCCCGCATTACAGTGTTTCGTTTTACGGCGTTCCGCTAATACGGTCATTTCAAATTATGACCAAAACTTGCTGTACGGCTCCCCCCACCTGACTTTCTAATACGGTCACCGCGCCCCACCCGGTTTGTTTACATTCTCTGTGAGATCCGTAAGCACTAAATCTCTCCATTATGTCTGGAAACTCCAAAATTTTAAGTGTTTTTAAAAGTTATTTCATATTTTATATATACTCTGATAATTATACTTATGTATACCTGTACTTAAATAAACTTACATACTGTGCTGGCGTGCAGGTACACATTAAAATCAGTGAGAGTGTTTTATGTCTCCAGACGTCATATTAGTAATGATAATAATAATCATCGAGTCTCATTCAAATGTCGTATATTACGTTAATATACACATTTTCATTAATCCATCTATGATATTTTTTCAAAATTATATAATAAACACGATGCATAACATATAAATATGATAAATACACCCCACAGTAGAATAAATAAGCATAAATATGAGATGTGGTAGCAGACGACTTGCACAAGTGACGCCATATTAGAAATAATAATAATAATAATAATCACCGAGTCTCATTAAATGTCGTATATTACGCTAATATACACATTTTCATTAATCCGTCCATGATATTTTTTTCAAAGTTATATAATAAACGTGATACATAACATATAAAGATGATAAATACACCCCACAATAGAATAAATAAACATAAATATGAGATGTGGTAGCCAGATAACTTGTACAAGTGATGCCAAGAATAACATTTTCTCTAATCTAACATAAGAGAAAATGTGTTACTGGGGGTAACTGTAGAAAATTATTCCTTTTGTATGTATGTAAGTTTATTCAGGTATACACAAATACAGTTACATAGATTATCATACATAACAGCATATGTGTAGAGAACCTAAGATAACCCAAAAAAGTCAGACAGAGTGACTTATTTTCATTGCCTTCACTCAGAGCGTCATTTCTTCTCAAAATGATGTTACATGAGAATGGGAGTGTTCTTCTTTATTTATTCTACCGTATCAATGTAGAGACAACTTGTACACAATGTAACTTGTTCACAAACCAGACGTGTACACTTTGTTTGTTTACAAAACTTACCTTCGCCTGGTTTGTTTACATAACTCTGCGCCTGTCCTCTATCATGCACTCTTTCTCTCTCTCATTTATTCATTTTATCTCATTTACTTACTCCTGACCCTACATTAAGACTACAAATATTTTAAGGTAAGTAATGAGTGAACATTATACATTTTATCGCTCTGGGATGCTTAAATATCATAGAATATGTGTGTGGGTGGGTTGGCCTGGTATGGTAGCCCGGCTGACTACCATACATACCACACTTGATTTCTTACAATAAATACTACTTGTCTCACCCTAGATTAAGACTATAAATATTTTAAGGTAAGTAATGAGTGCACTATGTGTGTTTTGTACTTTTTTATTGTTTTTTGATGCCTAGTTCTATTGCTAACTTAATATATGTTAGTGTAAACTTGTTATCTAGTATTTGTATGCATTTATAAGTGGAAAAAAAGGGTGTTCCACTTTACGGCGGTTTCCGCTTTACGGCGGTAGCCTGGAACCTAACCTGCCGTATAAGTGGGGCCCTACTGTACAACAAGCCTTATGAGTATATCATTTTTTGTTTGATTTGTAATGTTTTTGCATTTTATATTTTTCCCTAGCTTCTCTTAATCGAAATGGAGAAGTGTAATATTCATTGTAACAGGCTAATTTTAAGAGTAAAAGTTTCTCAAAAAGTATATCAAAGTGTATTGCTCATTTTAAAATGCTCATTAAAGATTGTTAATTTTTATAGTGGCTGCGACTATAACCTTGTAATAATCGTTTATATATTGTTATTGCAGGTACATCAGTAATCATAGTGATGAACTCTTCTTGGAGTCACAGTACATCAACAATCCAGACATGTAGCCTGCTTCAAAATGCCTCCAAAAGTCATTATACTTTTCTGCAATGATCATTCATGATGTCCCACTTGACATATTTAAGGTTTAATCTGTAATGTGAATGCTGTAGTTGGAAGGTTTTTAGCATTGCATAAGCAAATTTTTTGTCCTTAACTTTTAAATTTTTCTCTAAGGTTTATCATGTTAGTATGTAATCAAATCTTATGTTCACTTATAATGAATTATTTTTGTTCAGGTATAGTTATTTTTTAAATATATAATGAATTTGTGTTAAACCTCTGTACTATTGAAAAATGGGTAGGGTGACTGGTTCATTCCTAGTAAGATGAGATTGCTTTGTATATTTATAATATGGCTGTGTCAGTTAAGTCTTTAGCATTCTTTCATCTTTATTTTGTGTTAGATTGTGTTCAAAATGTAGAATGTTTTTTATATAAACTTGCATTTCCATATTTGTTATGTGTGTGAAGTATTTGTTAATTTGCTAATTAATATTTTTTACTTTAAGTTGTCATATAAATTAAAATAAAATTATGATAATACCTTGTTGAATTTTTACTTAAATGATCTTGATCTGTCATACCTGCTATGAAACTGGATTGTCCCAATTCCCACAAATGTTGCTTTCTTGACCAGGCGAGCACCAGACGAGCCTGGCCCATGGCCGGGCTCAGAGAGTAGATATACTCTCGAAATTCTTCAAAGGTATATCGAGGGTATAACCTGCTCCATTTCTTCTGCTCTAACTCTGTTAGTGTTAACTAATATCTTGGCGAGTCCTATGAAGATTAAATTTTAGTTATCCCCTCATTCTGGTTAATTTCAGGCTAAACAGTGTCTTGCCTACTCTGTTTCACCAAGTATTTTTGTCATGATCATGTCTCCTGTATCCTTATGCTATGCACTCCATTACTTGTAAACTTTCTTTAAAAATTTTCACCCAGTTTTGGTACAGTAATAACTGTGATGACCCTTTGGAAATTTTCAGTTTCCTTTTTTTTTTTGTTCAGTGTGGGTTCTACACTGGCATATTATTATAATCATAACTAATTGCCAAACCCACAAGGGTCAAACAGACCCTGGCATTCCATATCTGAAAATTGGCAGAACAAATGCATACTGTAGGGTATTGGTCGGCAACCTCGTTTTACCTAGGGGGCCAGGGCCCATGTCTGTGAGTGAATGGCGGGCCACACCTATCACCATAGTTAATAAACAGAGGTCATAATAATAATACATACTAAACTTTAACATCTATATATATATTTAACCCCTTAATTGTCCAAACGTAAATCTATGTTAGTTCCACTAGCGCTCCAAATGTACATCAATGTTTTATTTTTCCTGCCTCCAAATTTGGCACGATTGGTCTGAGATGCCTGGCCAGTACAGAGTGGGTCTTAACGCTGGCTGGCCGGCTGGCCATCTCTCTCTCTCTCACACAGGTGAATAACTGGCAAGTAATACGCATTTTCACTTGATCAAGAATCAGACGTGACAACTCTGCATTGTGTGTAATACCTGTTGGTTTACGAGCCACTCACAGATGGAAAGACACACACACAGGCAGACGGAAAGACAGATAAGCAGAGATGGGCAGACAGACATACATGTTTGTGTGTAACATGAAAACAAATAAAGCCAGGGTTCCTTGGAGCAGTGCACGCTCATCAAATGTCACTCTACTGCTGCACTGTCAGCAGTGGAGTGACACTCATCTTACAGTAATAATACACCATGCTTTAACCCTTTGACTGTTTTCGACGTATAAATACGTCTTACGAGCCAATGTTTCTGACGTATATATACTCAATAATTCTAGCGGCTTCAAATCAAGTGGGAGAAAGCTGGTAGGCCCACATGCGAGAGAATGGGTCTGTGTGGTCAGTGTGCACCACATAAAAAAAATCCTGCAGCACACATTGCGTAATGAGAAAAAAAAAAACTGATCGTTTTTTTGGAATAAAACACCGACTTTGAGGTGTATTTTCGTATAGTATTTATCGTTGTATTCGCGTTTTCATGGTCTTAGGTGATAAAATGGAAAACATATTACAGAAATAGAGATGATTTTCATTACTTTTACGATGAAAACGACCTTGAAACTGAGCTCAAAGTAGCGGAAATGTTCGATTTTTACCAATGTTCAAGAGTAAATAAATCACACCACACGTCCAATACACGTCAACTGGGGAGTCTAATATTCTTTCACTAGTGCACTGATATTATTTATACCATTTTTACAATAATGCAGTCGTCTGCATAACAGTAAATTTTGTATTTTTTTGTATGAATAAAAAATCAAAATAGAAAGCAATAATAATATAAGAGGGGCCTAGAGATGTGACTAATGAACAGAGCATATGTTATTTTAGTGCCACAAATGTCTGCCTTGTTTATTCTGGACCCTATTTTGAAATTGGCATCTTTTTTATTTTGCGTGAAATTGGCCAAATTGCCAATTTCTGACCACCATATTGTGTAGTCCAAATTAGTAAATGGGAGGTTTCTTGTACTCAGCTGATAGATAAAATGGAGTTCTAAAGAAATAGCTATGAGTTTGGTCAACTGGAACAATGGAATTGGCTGAAAATTGGGCTCAAAGTCGGCGAAATCACCGATACGCATATGTTGCCGAGACCGCTAACTTCGCGGGAGCATAATTCCACGAGTTTTCGACCAAATTTCGAACTTTTGGTGTCATTACCATCGGGAAAAGATTCTCTATCATTTCATAAGAAAAAATAATTTTTTTTTTTTCAAAAATTGAGCGACAGAATGACAGTTTCAGAGAGGGGCCTGAAACAGTCAAAGGGTTAAGGAGTTTCATATGTACTTCACCGTGTCTAAAACATTGCTGGACCCTATAAATACACGTACTTTGTATATACCCTGGACCCACGACATTCGATACTAATCCGTTCCTGAGAGCTCATCGAATGTCGAAAATATTGAAAGTCAAATTAATTTTCCCCATAAGAAATAATAGAAATTAAATTAATCCATGCAAGACACCCAAAAGTATGAAAAAAAATTTTTACCACATGAAATATTAAGTTTAATGCAATAGAATAATTACAATAACAATAACAATAGAATAATTGACAACAGGGCAACATGGGTTTAGAACAGGTCGCTCCTTTCTGTCTCAACTACTGGATCACTACGACAAGGTCCTAAATGCACTAGAAGACAAAAAGAATGCAGATGTAATATATACAGACTTTGCAAAAGCCTTCGACGAGTGTGACCATGGCGTAATAGCGCACAAAATGCGCGCTAAAGGAATAACAGGAAAAGTCGGTCGATGGATCTATAATTTCCTCACTAAACAGAACACAGAGAGTAGTCGTCAACAGAGTAAAGTCCGAGGCAGGTACGGTGAAAAGCTCTGTTCCACAAGGCACAGTACTAGCTCCCATCTTGTTCCTCATCCTCATATCCGACATAGACAAGGATGTCAGCCACAGCACCATGTCTTCCTTTGCAGATGACACCCGAATCTGCATGACAGTGTCTTCCATTGCAGACACTGCAAGGCTCCAGGCGGACATCAACCAAATCTTTCAGTGGGCTGCAGAAAACAATATGAAGTTCAACGATGAGAAATTTCAATTACTCAGATATGGTAAACATGAGGAAATTAAATCTTCATCAGAGTACAAAACAAATTCTGGCCACAAAATAGAGCGAAACACCAACGTCAAAGACCTGGGAGTGATTATGTCGGAGGATCTCACCTTCAAGGACCATAACATTGTATCAATCGCATCTGCTAGAAAAATGACAGGATGGATAATGAGAACCTTCAAAACTAGGGAGGCCAAGCCCATGATGACACTCTTCAGGTCACTTGTTCTATCTAGGCTGGAATATTGCTGCACTCTAACAGCACCTTTCAAGGCAGGTGAAATTGCCGACCTAGAAAATGTACAGAGAACTTTCACGGCGCGCATAACGGAGATAAAACACCTCAATTACTGGGAGCGCTTGAGGTTTCTAAACCTGTATTCCCTGGAACGCAGGAGGGAGAGATACATGATTATATACACCTGAAAATCCTAGAGGGACTAGTACCGAACTTGCACACGAAAATCACTCACTAACGAAAGCAAAGACTTGGCAGACGATGCACCATCCCCCCAATGAAAAGCAGGGGTGTCACTAGCACGTTAAGAGACCATACAATAAGTGTCAGGGGCCCGAGACTGTTCAACTGCCTCCCAGCACACATAAGGGGGATTACCAACAGACCCCTGGCAGTCTTCAAGCTGGCACTGGACAAGCACCTAAAGTCAGTTCCTGATCAGCCGGGCTGTGGCTCGTACGTTGGTTTGCGTGCAGCCAGCAGCAACAGCCTGGTTGATCAGGCGCTGATCCACCAGGAGGCCTGGTCACAGACCGGGCCGCGGGGGCGTTGACCCCCGAAAGTCTCTCCAGGTAAACTCCAGGTACCTTTAATGAAGATCTGGTGATGATTGATGGGATGGAAGGAAGGGAGAGTGTCAAAGTTGTTACTGTTTAGAAGGGGAATCCCCTTCCAATAGGACTTGAGGTAGCAAGTCCTTCTTCAGGGTTACTTCCCTTCTGCTTTTAATGCCACTAGGACCAGCTTGAGAGTCACTGGACCTCTGTCGCCATTCCTTCAAGATTTGTCCAAAATGGGCCATAACATAGTCATTGTAATAGTCACCAGCACGGCTTGCAATAGCTGTGTTAGGGTGATTTTCATCCATAAAGGTTTGCAGTTCAACTCACTTTGCACACATTTCCTTAATTTTTGAAGTAGGCACAATGGAGTCCACAACTGGCATAGGCTTCTCAGGGTTAGCCCCAAACCCTTCAAAATCTTTCTTAATTTCCATACTAAGTCTCACCCTTTTTTACCACAGGGTTGGCACTAGAAGCTTTCTTGGGGTCCATGGTGACTTATATTGCAGAAACAAGCACCAAAAACAGTGATAATATGGAATGTACCGAATGTTTTATTTATTTATTTATTTATTTTAAATTTGTGCACACGTACAGAGGTACAAAAAAAAATACAGATAAGAGCAGTATGCCAAAGCCACTTATACTATGCATAGCATTACGGGCTGGCTTAAAATTAACTTAAGATTAACTAAGCAATGATGAAGTCAGTGATAAAACATTAATGTAAACAGATTACTATAAAGCACAAGTGAGTATTACAAAGACAGGTCATATGAAGGATTCTGTTAGGTAGTGTATTTAAAAAATAATAAAGTTAGATTCGGTTTTAGGTTTAACATTATGTGATATATTGTGAGAAACATTTAAGATATGCAATTTATAAGGTTCAGTTATTCAGTATTTATTTGGTTTTGGGTGAGTAAGTGATCTTTGATGTAAGACTTGAATTTTTAAACAGGTAGTGTTTCTTTTATATTTACAGGTAATGAATTCCAGATTTAGGGCCTTTTATGTGCATTGAGTTTTTGCATAGTGTGAGATGAACACGAGGGAAAATCAAAGAGTGATCTGTGCCTTGGTTATGGTCATGTGTTCTGTTGAGGTTGGCAAG